GGTCAAAGCCCCCGTGCCGCTCAGTAGTGGGATCGCGCCTGTGAATAGACGCTGTAGTGCAGCCTGAGTAATACAGCGGGACCCAGTCTTTTTACGCTCTTTCTCCTCTCCACAGAAATATACACAAACTCACACATCACATTTTTTACAGCTTATAAAAGCCTCAACACGGTTTCTCTCTCCTTTCTTTCCATTGAAAAACACTGCTGTTTGTTGGTCCCACAGCGTCTCCAACTTGAGGAAGAAGAAATTACCAACACACTGCAACTTCACTAATAATATTTTTTAATAATAATTCATAATAACTGCAAAAATTATACAAATAACCATTTTTCTTTCTTCGGTGACTGTATTCAATGAACATAAAAATAAACAAAAGCAGCCTAAAGCAAAGCTCTACTTTCGCTTTTTTAAATAAATGAAGCATGAATACTTTCAGCTATTATGTCATTCAGAGCTTCAATGTGTAATCTTTTGCTTCGCAGGTGTAATATCCACAGTCTCCCTGTGGTTTACAGTTTAATGCTACAGTGCATCAGGAGTATAAGAGAACCTGTTAACGCCTGTTGCAGGCAAACTGATGTCTGAAGATTTGAAAGATATTAATTTACTAAATAAAATCAAAATGCCGGACTGTAAACAGCACAGAACAACAGCTTGAAAGTATGTTGTGTTTTTCTCTGCTCATAGAAAAAAATATTTGGAATGCACTTCAAATAGGTAATCACTCACCACAAGTAATAGGTAATGCAATTAAATATGAGAAACTACAACTGTGATAGGCTACAACTTTAGCTGGCTAAGAGAAATGGATGGATGTGGATGGATTTTTACACATTTGTCCAATGGGAGTTTGTTCGTCTTTGAACAACTTTTTTTAAAAGACTGGAAAAATCATCAGCACTCTATATAAAGACGTGTGGACGTGTCCTATTAAGATTTAGCCTTGAAAAGTAAAATAGTTGAACTTGGTGTGACTTTGAATCTCATTTTCAATCCACTTTTATTACATTACAATAATTTTGTCTGCTATTTAACTAAGATGTAGCATGGGCTATCAAATAGAAATCTCTTAAAAGTGAGGAAACATTAGCCAAATAGAATGAATATGGCACATTCCTCTGGGAACATGACTAGAAATGAAGATCAGAAGCAGGGGCCACTCTGGGCTCAAACCTTTAGGGGGGCTCAGCTGTTAAATCATAGTGTCATGCATACAGTGCCTTGTAATTAATATTAATGGAATATTCTGTTTGCAAGTGTAATTTAAACTTTTAAAATTTGCAAACCTCAATTCAGTATATTAAATATCATAATGTTACATTGAAAAGCAGCCTAATTAATTGGATGATCTATTATTGTGTCTAAGAATATTTTGGAGTGAATAATCATAGATTTTAATATAATCCACCCATTTTAGTCATCAAACCTGAGGCAAAGGCTCAGTCATTAAAGAAGATTTAAAGAATCATTTATTGCAAAGCAGATAAGATGAGAAACATGCACAACATTATTTCAGACTGTTAATCACATAGAGGCAGTCCACCAAATCATCAAGCACTTAAAGTAGCATCATTCAGTACAGACACTGGATAATCAAACTG